CACACACACACACACACACACACGGGTGCTGGGGGGCGGGAAGGCATCCCAGGTCTACCCCCGAGCCGAGCCGTGCAGGGTGGCCGCCCGACCCAGTCGTACACTGCAACCCTGGAGACTTCAGTGAGGTAGGTGGTATCAGCCCCATTGTACAGGTGGGCAAACTGAGGCAGAATGAAACGCAATAGCTTGCTTTTAATAACAGCATACAAAATCTAGAGAAAGCCCCAAAGCAGCCCCTGTTCCCAGAGCCCAGCGCAAACCCTTGGAGCGTGCGCAGAATAGAACAGGTGGGGGCGAGCCCCTCCGGCCCCTTCTCTCCTCGCAGAGAGGATCTCTACGCACGACTGGAAACCCTCACGTGTTCCTGGGGACTTCAAACAAAACAACGTGGCGACAGAGACCCAGCTTACAGTTTATTCCCATGGGGGCAGGGCACACGCTTCCGCTCTGGAGAAGGCTCGTGGTTTGTCATCACCGGCAGGACTCCTTCCAGCCGGAACCAGGCCGCTCACGCCAACCCACCAGACCAGCCGCGTGGAGGCCAGTTCTGCTTTGCCTCAGTGAGCTGGTCTGAGAAACGGGACCAGCACACTCAGTCAAAGGAAACGAGCTCCGGGAAACACCCCATCCCCTTCCCAGCTCCCCCCGCCCCAACCCCGGCCCTGGGATGGGATGGAGGTTCTACCCAGAACCTTCCCGGGAGGGGGCCGACTCCACCGCACTCCCCCAAAACACTCTTCTGTCTGACGACCGAGCCGTCCCACCTGCCCTCAGAGTCCAAATTCTGCGGGTCACGCCAGCCGAGGCGCAGAGCGGGATTATCTCCAAGGCGGAGGTGTGTGTGTTGGTGGTGCTCTTTGGCTGGAAGCAAAGGCCGTTCTGGCAGGATCGGGGCCTGTCTGCTCAGCTCGAGGCCTTTCTGGAACCAGGCGTGGGGTGAGGTATTCCCAGCCCAGGGCAAAACCCTCAACAGCCACGTGCCCCGTTTAAAACCTCGCGGTAACCCATTTATAACCAAGCGGTGAACGAGGGAGGGCGGACGGGTCGGGACTAACTCGGACGCCGGAGTTCACCGGTACAGCGTGACAGACTCTGAAGCCAGTTCTCCTCGGGGAAGCGTTGATGGTCCGACACACTGAGTGCCCCCGACCGGGGTGGGGGGAGGGGGGGGGTCTCTCCACCTGCGGTCTGTCCGAGCGTGAACGTC